TTTTGATAAGAATTTCACTTGGTATGAGATCGTTTTAATGTATTTCAAGTCACATGTTTGGCATGATCACAACTAGCTTGGCTTGCATGATTTGCTCACAATTCCTCTCATTTCTCATCATCATTCACTTCCCTATAAATAAAGGATGTTATTCCATTAATTTTCTCAAGTTTGAACAATCAAAATCACCCTGCCAAACTCTCCCCATAGCTCACAATTCCGAGTTTTCAAATTCACTCTTTCCTTATTTTTAAATCCAATTTATTTGTCCATTCTTCTTCCTTGAACTTTACTGAAGCTAACAGAAGAAGAACCAAGCCTTAAAGTGCTCTAAATTGTACTATCCAAGTCAAGTTGCAGAGCCAATTTGTTGAACTTCGTTCAGGTCGAATTCTCCATCAATTCTCTTCAAACTTGTTACTACAATGTCACTCTATTTTTTGATTTTTCTATTTAATTGTTTTAAACTTCAAAAATTCATAAAAAAAATCATTTCAACTTCTAAAATTGTGAAAAAATTATCAAAAATACTTTTGATTTTTCTCTTTCTGATTTTTATTTTTTTCATAATCTTATTTTGTGATTTGATATTTTTTAAATTATTTTTCACTTTATTTGATTTGTTTTAATTATTTAAAATATTTTTCTTGATTTAAAAATTTTGAAAAAATTATGGAAGGATCCAATGACCTCTTGAAAAATATTGATGAACTCATTTTTTTATTTTACTATTTTTCATAATTTCTGGCTTATTTTTCTTATTTCTTTATATTTTAAAAATAGTTTCTGACTTTAAAAAATTCTATAAAAATTTGTCAACACTTGTTGACTCATGTTTGACTTCTGATATTTTTTAGAATTTTTATTTGGTATTTTAATACATGTTGTGTATTTTACCAATTATTTCTTTTTAAATCATTTAAAATTTGTTTTATATTGAATATATTTTATTATTTTTTGATTGGTTCTGATTTGGAGACACTTGAGTGTTATTTTGGGACAGGTTCCTCAACCTCATTGGATCTTGGGTATTGATAGGTTGAAAAACTAAATCCATCAAAATGGATGAATGATGTTGATGATATCTGAAACCCTAATTTTATCTGATACATTGGTTATACTATCATTCCCCTTCCTCTTCATCTTATCCCTTTCTTGTTTTTTTACTTGTGCTACATGTTTTTGGAGAATAATCTACATATCATTTTTCTAACATGTTTGGTACATAGATTTTTATTTACCGGCCTCAAAGTAGGTGTGGTTTCTACATAAGTCCACTTGTGATTGCTTAACATAGCGCTAAATTAGTCCTGATTCGAAAAATAACCATTTGTGGCCCAAATCTATGTTTGCAAGCCCAAGTATGTTTAATTCGAAACCTTAGATCCAATAACTTTGAAGTTCATGTTAGGAAGTTTTGATTCTATCAGTCCTCTAATGAACTTTATGAATTTTGGTCTAAGTGAATCATTTGAACATTGTTGATCATATGTTATTGCCTTAAGCACTTGAAATGAATGATATACTTGACAAAAAGCAAATGAAACTTGTTGTTGAGAAGCTTTGATTTTATCAATCTTCTAATGAGTTTTCAAAAGCAAGCTTCAAGATGGTCATTCAACTAACCTTTTTTAACTTCTAATTCACTAACAATTAACTTTCCTTTATGCCTTTATTTTGTGCATTTATTTTTATATACCATTTATTTTAGCATTTACATCTCATATTATTTTCCTTTTGTTCACTTGAGCATTTATCTTTATATCATTTTATCTTTGCTCATTTGAGCTTTTATTTTCTTTTGAAGACACTTAATAATCAACTTGAACATTAAAAGCATTAAGGTTACTTAGACTATCTAGTTACTATCATTGGCATTGTAGAGTTGTGAATCTCTCGGACTTAGGATTAAAAGCCTTGATACTTGGGGACCTTGTTGCTATGTTGTTATTTTGTTTGAAGTTCTTGGGGTTTACTCCAAGGCATTGAGTTGATTTTCTTTGTGTGCAGGTTATTTTGATTTTATGTTTTATTTGTGATTGAGAGTTCCTATGTATACATCTGTTACTCTGCCCAATTTTTGTGAAGACTTAATTCATCTGAAGTTTAATGTTCCTTAGAGGTTTAGTATTTTTGCTTGCTTGGTTTTAATCCAAAGGATATGAATTCTACATTGACTTCTTTATGTCAAGTATCAGCTTCTTGCTGGTTAGATCGTTGTTTTCCCTGGCTTTTACCTTATGCTTTAGGATAGTCCCTTCATCTCCTCTTATCTTCTTTAATTTCAAAAATATTCTCCCTCATTTTCAAAACTCTTCTTGTTTTCTAACCTGAACCGCTTTCATAATAAACTTGAACTTAGGTCCATGCATTTTCAAAAATCTTTTCTTAATCAAACTTTAATCAATTTAATCATACTATGACATCTTTCTCAAGACTAAAATTTAATTAACTTCATTCAAACCGTTTTTGCCACTTTGACTTTTTACTTTTAAACTTTTCTCAAAAGATTAGACTCTTGTCGATTCTTGTAGTGATGCGAAATATTATACTTCTATGATATGTAGTGAAGTGAGAAATTTTCCACTTGGATGTTGAGTGAAGCTTTGTTGATTTTAAAATCCAATCTATATCCTCCACTCTGAGATGATGCAGATTCTACTTTCTCATAATCGTGGGTAGTAAGTATGTTTTCCACTAGGATATAATGATGATGTCTCTTCTCTTAAAATTAACCAACACACACGTGTTTTAAAATTTTTAAGGTGAACTACGAGTACCCTGATCCCCTATTGCATAAAAGGTGGTATGTAGGAACTAAAGGTTTGCAACCGCGGCGGGTGCAAAATTGTAAAAATACTTCTTTTCTCATCTCCACCATCTTATTTTGTATACACCTTTTATAGCCAAAATACACAGATTTTCAAAGAGGTTCATGCAGAGTACCATAAATGTTTAGGGTACCAATACCTTCCTTTTGCATAACCAACTCCCGTACCTAGATTCTTCCTTTTTTGGGTTTATTCGCTCTTCTCCCATTTCTATTGGAAATAATAAAGCGCGGTGGCAATTTTTATTTGATCTGTGCGAGTTAAGTCAATCCAATGACTTAGTCTCAACATTTCTACCGCTACAATATGGACGTTTATATATGAGATTGCTAAAGTTTTTGCACTATATAGAACACTATTAACTACATAAGGAATCTAATCCAACACAACTAGTTTCTGGTACTCAGGGTTGGCGATGACAACTTCCATAACTTGTACAGTAAGTAGATTCTAGAAAATCAATCACCAGCGCCACTCCTTTTTTAGTAGCTGGCACAGGGGTCGCCCTAGAGTCTCTCAGATTCCAAAAAAATATCAGTCTCTCGGCAAGATGTCATCCCCTGAGAATTCTATTTTGACGGGTTAGAGGAAGATCATCATCAGTTCCTGCAATTATCACAATAAAATCAAGGGCTAATAAATGAAAAATACCATAGAAATATTTTTCAAAACTGGTAAGCAATTAATCTCATAAATTTAAAACATATAACATTGCAACCAATACTTCAAGGTAAAAGGAGAAGTATCATTATCTCTACAATAGTGTGACAATACAACAAACTCATGAAAAAAACAATTGGTTGGTATCAATTTGTTTGGTATGGAAATGGTATTTGAAATACCAACTTCTCACATCACCACAAGCAATTAAGTATTTGTCCAATGAAAAACGGTATTCAAAGTGTGTCATTATCATTATGAAGTAAAACTAAAAGCATGTCACTACTACAATGCATAAAGATTTACACTAAACACGGATAAAGTTCTCAGGAAGCGCTTATGATGAAGAAAAGTATAAAAGGAATCTTATAATAACTAAGTTGCAAAGATTTTAAAAGTTCTCATGAACCATAAACATTCACAAAATTCCCTAAAGTTTAAATCTTTAAATTCACAGCATGAGGTAAACCTTTAATAACAATCTCAGGAATTGTATACCTCAAAGATATCATTGAAGAATAAAACATGTCATTAATCACCTTACCCGAATTCGATCATCATAACAAACCCAGACTCAAGAACATCAATCGCCTTACACATCATCAATCACTAACATCATCAGACGCATCCACCATTTTTAGGGTTTATGCTTCGGTGGACTTTTCTGCGCCGATGTTGACTGAGTGGAGGGAATTGGTGGGAGAGGGAGGGTTGATTTCATTTTTTTCTGTTGAGGGAAATAAGAGGATGTAGAAGAAGGAGAAGAGAGAAAGAAGAAGAGAGGATGGTCGGAGTACAAATTTCACAGTCTCCTTTACAATTGTGATGTGATAATGGAAAAGGAGAAGAGAAGAGAGATCTAAATGAGAAAGAAAAAGAGATGAAGAGAAAAAAGTGGTGGCAGGGGTTGGAGAAGAGAGATATCTAAATACTTAATAAAATAAATTTTTAAATAAATAAAAAATTATGTAAATAAACAAAAAAAAAAGCCAAGTCAACAAATAAAATTGTATCAATATTCCAAACCAGCTATAAAATGTCCAATAAGATAATAGTTAACGTTTTTTCATGAAAAATTAACGGAAAAGACCAAAATATATAACAGAATATCAATTAATGAACTACTATGTAATATATTTTTTAGTTAAAGGACCAAAATAAAACATTGAATAAAATTAAAAGATCAAAAGGTATTAATCTAAAAAGATAAATGTAATGTGATGGACAGCCACGTGTAATAAGGATGAACATGATTGTAAAAATGGTCGTGGAGGGAGAAGGATACTTGATCATATACATCCAAAACTAATCTATTTTAATTTTCTTTCTAGTTCTACCTTTTCCTCCGCTACAAATCGAAAAACCACCCAATCGCTTTTGCAAGGTGCACAAGGTAAATAAACCTCTCTCAATTTCATTTCACTCGCATTTCACCCTTATTCTCGTTACAGTACCAATCTGTAACAGTTTCTCAGGCGAACTCTCCGAATTCTAGGGTTCTCCACTATCATGGACCAGGCTGAATTAACCACCGATCAGGTTCGTTCCGATCTGATTCATTTCCATTTGTTCTTCAATTCTCCGATCTAGTTCCAAATTCCCGATTACTCTCGAATCCGAAGGATTTTTTTTTCGTTTTTTTTGTAGTTTTTGTGGATTGCAATGCTTTTGATCTTCCATTTATGTTGTGTTAATGTTTTCTTGAAGGTTCTGAGTAGAGACATTCCATGGGAGACCTACATGTCCACCAAGCTCATCTCTGGTACTAGCCTTCAGCTCTTGAGACGTTACGATCACCGATCGGAGAGTCAGAGAGCTCAGTTGCTCGATGATGTAAATGTTTTATTTTGTTTGAATTTCGTTTCGATTTTGATTTCGAGTAGATTTGATTTACGATTTGGAGTTTGATTATGTTCTGGTGTTGAAAATTTAATTTCCTTGTGTGGCAGGATGGTCCCGCTTATGTTCGTGTGTTTGTTCATGTTTTGCGTGATATTTTCAAAGAGGATACAGTTGAGTATGTTTTGGCTCTGATAGATGAGATGCTGACAGGTAATTTCTTGAATAAAATGGCATTCTCTCTGTTATCAGTGGCATAACTGGATAAATCTTTAAATTATCTCATCTTTGGCAGCAAATCCGAAAAGAGCAAGACTGTTTCATGACAATGCCCTTGCGGATGATGATACTTATGAGCCTTTCCTAAGTTAAGTATTTACTCCGAATATGTTTTTGTTTTTCATATTAGTTATTTACTTTGCTCTGGAGGTGATAGAAGCTCAGTTAGACTAAATTGCAGTTTTTAAAAAAAATATAATTGGTCTTGAGTTGTGACCATGGCGATTTCTTCTGCCAAGCATATTTTATAGAAGTTTTGTTTGCACTTGTTTTATTCATTCTCTTCTCTCTTTATCTAAACCCTTCAACTTCAACTTCAACATGGTATCAGATCCATATCAGACTCCCTGACTTATCCCATCATTATTCTTCTGCCAAGTTCCCTAGTACTCTGAACTTCAGTATAATGATTATATTTAGATTCCTTTTCTGGTAATTGCTGTTACTTTCCAACCATCAATCCATGTGCCCCCTTCCTGTTACTTATTTGTCTCACCGCTGGTCATGTTTGATCCATTGACCCCAGTGTTATCAAATTGCCCGCTATGGCCGTTATGGCGGATATACATGGCGGTTTTTGGGCTTGCTGCAATGGTAAATATCAGCCGCTATTGCGGGGTTTTCCACCATAATCCGCAATAACAGCGCCGCAAAGCGCCCATTATGGCGGGATTTTGGCTCTCCACCATCGACAACATTGATTGACCCTTTCTAGTTTTGTTGAGACCAGTTTCAAGTCGAGAGTGATGATCGATTAATGAAGGGATTAAAGACATTATATTTGCAATGAAATAAAGATGAAAAACTATCTTATTTTATTTAAAATTTTTGCAATAAAACATAATGCTCAATCTGCGCGCGCGCACACAGACACACACACACATTCTCAATTGAGATATTGTATGGAAACTGTTCATATTTTTATTTAGTTATAATATATAAATAAATATATATGTATCAGTGACCTATATTTTGTAAGTTAGCAGTGTCGACTTGTTCATTTCGTGCCCAGTGTCCATGCTTTCAGTACATCATAGGTTTTGTTTTAGTTTCAATTTTTTGAAGAAGTTTTGTCTTGGTTGCGGTTTGGTACTAGTTGTCTCAGCTGTGCTTTGGTATTGGTTCTGACTTAGTTGCAATTTGGTATTGGTTCTCTTTCAATTACAGTTTGGCTGATGTTTTTTCTCCTACTTACAGTCTAACACTAGTTTTGTCCCAATGGAAATTTGGTTTGGACTATTGTTCCAGAATTGATCTAGTCTACTGATTTTCAATATGAAGTTATATTATTTAATAACAAGCTTAAGCTTCGTAAGCTTTGGTGAGTGTTCGAAATATTAAGATATTTTATAGTATCTTGATGTTACTTTAGAGTATATTAGATTACCTCATAGGATTAGTTTCTTATCATAAAGTATTTCAGAATCTCCTTGAAGATTAGTTTTCATATTTATCTGTTTGTATCATAGGACTATAAGTATTGTATTAGTACAAGTGTCTGAGTTTAGTCTTTTGTGTCAAATGATAAACATCAACAGTTATGAAATATAGACAATAAAAAATAACAATACTGTACATCTTGCAGATTGCTTCGCAAAGGAAATTGGTTTGTACAAGAGAAAAGTTGTAAGATCCTTGCTTTAATAGTTAGGTAATACAAACACGAGGCATTCTGACTATTTAATTCAAAAAGTTATTGGAATTTTATCAACCAAGAGGCTGTAAAGTTAATTTTTCAGTTAATTTAAAATTTTAACCTTTTTCTGATTGTAGTGTCAGGCCAAAAAATCAGAATGGCAGTGCTTCAAATGGAGGAGCATCAAGTGAAAAGAAATCAATTACCTCTATTGATGATGTTTTGATAGGATTGGTAAAATGGCTTTGTGAGCAGGTGTGTAATACTGAAACTCTTTCCTTTCACCAACCCAAATTCAGTCATTAGCTGATAATCTTGGTGTTGTAAATGGTAATATCAATTTGAGATATACAAAGGGCTTTGTAAGAGAAATATGTTTACCTCTGAAAGAAATATTATGAGCTTATTAGATCAAATATATGCTAGCTTGTTATATGAAGATCAATTATACTTTATAAGAGTCACATTTGATCTCCAAAGGGGGTTGGGTCTTGCAAAAGATGCTTGTCCCCCACTTGTGGCGACCCACAACATGAGTCCGCATTGGGAGAAGTGTCCATGTTTGGTTCATAAGATGTTGCTTGACGTGAACGAAAATAAATGCATGCTAAATCCAATGACGTGAACAGAGTCAGTTATATATATTTATATATAAAGAAAGTAATATATGCTCATTCTAATTATTGTATCTATAGCTGAAGAAACCTTCTCATCCTACTCGTGGAGTTCCAACAGCTATCAATTGCTTATCAACTCTACTTAAGGAACCTGTTGTTAGGTCTTCCTTTGTTCAAGCTGATGGGGTCAAGTTGCTTGTGCCATTGATTTGTCCAGCATCCACTCAACAATCTATGCAGGTAAGTTTGCTGGACTCCAAAGACATAACAAATTCTGAATAAGTATTGTACATGGGTGCCTGCATAAGCATAGTATATCTAGTTATGCTTGTATTACATGTGGTAATAGATGGCTAAATAAAATATGCTCCATGCTAATTTCTATTTGAAGAATACTGATGGAATGACACCTGTTTGTCGGAAACTTAATTGATAATTTCCTTTGTGACAGCTTCTTTATGAAACATGTCTCTGCATATGGCTCTTATCATATTATGAGCCTGCAATTGAATATTTGGCTACTTCAAGGACCCTTCCAAGACTTATTGATGTTGTTAAGAGTTCTACAAAAGAAAAGGTATAGCTGACTTGTTCCATTTATGTCCGCCTCATTTTTTCTTACAAATATGTTGTTCAGCTTTCTTTTTTCATGGCAATATCATTATTAGTTATAATTTTATGATGGCTGTTGGCTTAAATTGTATTTACGTTTGGTCTTGTGTTCAACCGTGCCATTATAGCAGCTAAAAATCTATATTCATAAGTTCATTATTTCATCTGTCATAGAAATCTAATGTTACACAATTATTTTGCCTATTTTATTAGGTTGTTAGAGTTGTTGTCCTGACACTCAAAAACTTGATGTCGAAAGGGACATTGGGTGCTCAGATGGTTGATCTTCAGCTTCCTCAGGTTGTTCAAAGTTTGAAAGCACAAGCATGGAGTGATGAGGTGAAGAATTATAACCTGCACAAAATTTTCTTTTGAAAGTTTACTTGTTGAAATGTCATAAAACTATAATAATAGGAGCCATGCAGAGTTGGTGATTTTTGATGTACTTCTCGCCAATGTTTGTTTGCAGTCAAAATTGACTTAGTTTTGAATGTGCTCATGTTTGTGAGATAATTGTGATCATTATATAGCATTTTAATAGAAAAAGGAAAATCAGAATCTGTCATCTCAGACCTCATTGGTAGGAATTGATCCCTATCCTCCTATTTAACTGCTTATTAACTAGACAACATATATTTCATGACATGAAAACGTGGTTAATGCAATTGGATTACACAATAGTGATGCTTGCTAACTTATTATCTGTCATCTTGTTTCTTTTCCTTAACTAGCTAACGACACCATGTTCCTTCTCTTATTTCAAAATACATTTTTGGCACAAGCATACAACATTGTGTTAGTAACTTGAATACACATTTGTATCGGCCTACCAACCACCTTTTTTCATTTACTAAGAAAGAACCCTTTCGGTTTGCTCTTACTTTTTGTCCAAATTGGCTTTTTTTTAAAACATAATATAACTATTTTGTTCTTCTCCTATTATCGAGATCTTACATTTCTTGAAGTTTATCTCTATTCAAGCATCTGGCTGCATTTCCTTTTGAAACTATCTATTTCTTGTAGCTTTCCCGAATTTTCTATTGATTAGAAAAGTTTTCGTAGGACTTGTTGGAGGCGCTGAATTCCCTTGAAGAAGGGCTTAAGGATAACATCAAGAAGCTTAGTTCTTTTGATAAGTACAAACAAGAAGTTCTCCTTGGCAATCTAGACTGGTCTCCCATGCACAAAGATCCCATATTTTGGCGAGAAAATATAACCAATTTTGAAGACCATGATTTCCAGGTACCTGTGCATTATCGCTTTTGTTCTTCGATTCATTTTTTTTATTAAAGCACACCTGAAAATTTAGGCTGTGAAGACAAAAGGCATACCTTTGATTTCATAATGTTTTCCTTGCTATTTTGTGGAGTATAAAAATTGGTATCACTGGGACTCAACCTGTTTCCCCTGGTGTTCATGAGTGTAGAAAATCCCTTTATGTGTTGTTCCCTCTTGCTTATGAATTCCGTCAGACATTTAGAACATGCATGTTTCTTTTCCCTGAGCAGTGATGATTTTTATAGCAAGAACATATGATTATGTATGTGAAGAGCCATCAGGCAATGAAAGAAAATATTCCTGAAATGGAAGATCATTTACATTATAATCTCAATTGTGCACTCTTTATCTTCTCAATAACATTTATCTACAACAGATTCATACTCGCTTCATCTGTTGCAGATTCTAAGGGTCCTATTAACAATTTTGGACTCATCCAATGATCCAAGGACTCTAGCTGTTGCTTGCTTTGACATTTCACAGTTCATCCAGTGCCATCCGGCTGGGCGGATTATTGTGACAGACCTTAAAGCCAAGGAACGAGTGATGAAACTAATGAATCATGAGAGTGCTGAGGTTACTAAAAATGCACTTCTCTGCATCCAAAGGCTTTTCTTGGGTGCAAAGTATGCAAGCTTCTTGCAGGTCTAGTTCTATTTCGGTCAGGTGGCCTATTATTATTTTATGCACTTCATTTCTTGAACTCTCCTGTTATCTCACAAATAGGACAGACACTCCTCTGTACAAGGCTTATTCATTGTTGTAATAATTTATCGTCTATGGTCATTAAGATTTCAGTTTGAAGCCTTAGAAAAGGTTTGATATGAGAAATAAGTATCCTTGATATTCTGCTATTGAATAAATCAAGTTTTGTAACTTTATACTCAGTTGTGCTTTGTGGGCATGTTGAATACAGATTTTAGAAATCAAAATTTCTTGGAAGCATGAATATGTAGTTTTTTTTTTTTGAAAGACTAGCTAAGTATGCTCTTTTCAAAAGAATAATGATTTGAGGGATGAGAAAGTTATTGACTTATTTCTTGCCAGAGCATAGATCTTTTACTTTGCTGTGTAGTAAAATATGCTAGGGCCTTGGTAAACATGTTTGAATTTACTGCAATATTTATTTTGGCTGAGGAGCTCGTAGGGTTGAGGGAGGATACAATATACAATATACAATTCATTTGAGGTGGGAAGTTTTGGTAGGTGCATCTGAGGTTTAGTGGTATAGATGTCGTGATCCTTAGATAAAAGTGGTAGCAAAGACGACCAGCCGTCCTAAGATGGGTTAGTCACTAGAACACTCGATCGAATTATATATTCTTAGCTGAAACGTTGAAAGTAAAATCTAGTATAGAATTTCCCCTGCAATTTCATTTGTGTGCATGAATAGCATACTGTCAACATAAATGACAAATGTCCAATGTGTCAAGTAGTAGGAAAGCAACAAAAGAAATTAAGGTTAAAGCTATAGACAAAATCTCCTGCTGATTTTATTAATCCAAGAAACTATTTCATCAACAATGCTGAATCTGATTAATACAGATTTCCTTTTCTCTTCCTTGGTGCCTTTCATTTGTTCCCCACCTTCTGATAACAATGGTTTCTTCCTTCATTCACCTTCTATTTCTTGCACTTATGTTCATTTCTGCCAATGGAACAAACCTCACACGCCCTATGAATTCCCCTCTTTCCTGTGACACATATGTTGCATACTTTGCTCACTTTCCAAAAATTTTAACCCTCACGAACATATCTGATATATTTGACACAACTCCTCAATCCATTGCAAGAGCAAGCAAACATAAAAGATGAAAATATGAACCTTGTTCCAGGCCAACTCTTGCTAATACCTAAAACATGTGGCGGCAGTGGAAATGGAAACTGCTCTTTTGCTAATATCTCACACTTGATCAAACAAGGTGAAAGTTACTACTATCTTTCAACCATTTCATATCAGAATCTCACCAATTGGATGATAGTGGAAGATTCAAATCCCAACCTGAATCCATATTTGTTGACAGTGGGCACCAAAATAGTCATTCCTTTGTTCTGTAGGTGCCCTTCAAAAGGGATAGTCTTTGATTACTTATGGGTGGCAGCCTAATGGCAATCTTACTCTTGTAGCTTCCAAGTTTGGTGACATGACATAATCACTGCAAATGCAAACAATTTTGGCCAGAATTTCACTGCTGCAACCAACCTTCCCGTTTTTATCCCAGTGAAAAGCTTACCAGCTATTTTACAATTATTACACTATTCTTCAAGTGGAAGAAAGAAAAACAATCATTTTCCTATTATCATTTTCATTGATACTACGTGTCTAGGATGCACTATTTTGATTTCACTGTCATTATTAGTCTAAGTGTATTGTTTGAGGAAGAGAAAAGCCTGTGAGAATAAGTGCGCCGTCTGTGGAGATAACAGATAAGTTAATTTCAGAAGTTTCAAACTATATAAGTCAGCCAAAAGTGTATCAAGCCGGTATGATAATGGAAGCTACAATGAACTTCAATGAACAGTGTAGGATAGGGAAATCAGTGTACAAAGCTATAATAGACGGTCATGTTTTAGCTGTGAAAAATGTTAAGGAAGACATCACAGTAACTGAAGAGTTGATGATTCTTCCAAAGGTAAATCATGCAAATCTTGTAAAACTAATTGGTGTCTCTTCAGGATATGTTGGAAATCACTTTCTTGTCTATGAATATGATGAAAATGGATCACTTTATAACTGGCTGTTCTCTGAATTTTCCACTGCTTCAAGCTCAGTGGCTTCCATCACATGGAATCAGAGGTTAAGCATATCAATTGATGTTGCAATTGGTCTGCAATACATGCATGAACACATAGAACCAAGTATAGTCCATAGAGACATCACATCACATCAAGTAACATCCTTCTTGACTCAAACTTTAAGGCTAAGATATCAAGATTTTCAGTTGCAAGGAACTACAAAGAATCCTATGATAACAAAAGTAGATGTTTTCGCTTACGGGGGTTGTTCTGTTAGAGTTATTAACAGGAGAGAAGTTTTTGTTGTATAGCGAAAACAGCAAAGTGAATATGTTATGGAAAGATATTAAGGATGTGTTTGATATAGAAGAGAAGAGAGAGGAAAGGGTTAGAAGATGGATGGATCCTAAGTTGGGGAGGTTTTTTAATGTTGTTGAAGCTCTTAGTTTGTTCTCTTTGGCAATGAATTGTATAAAAGAACAATCTTTGTTAAGACCAACAATGGGAGAAGTTGTTCTTAGTTTTTCCCTTCTCACTCAACATTCTCCTACTTTGTTAGAGAGGTCTTGTATTTATGGATCAGATGTTGAGGTTATAGCTGGAACGGTTACTTCAATCATAGGTCGTTGATTGAGTGAATGTAAATTCAGTTTCTGAAGCTCAATTTCGGTATATTAGTAAAGATATTATGCAAGATTGTAAGAATGTGTAAAAAGAATGAATTTCTGTTAGCATATACTAAGGTTTATTTTAAAGTTTTGTACATTATTTGTGTAACTAAGTGAGCAACTTCTATTAGTGTCCAATTAACATATAATATATATTTTTTAAAACCAGAACATAATTATTTCTCGAAACTCACATTTGCAAATGTTATGTAAATGATCATATCAAAAGTAACATATTGGTGCACATATGGCCAAGTGAGGTTGTGAGGATTGTATTTAACCTTTTCTTTTCCTTTGGCAAATACTAGATTTTGTAAAAAATGAACTCATTTTTATGTTTGCATGTTCAACTTTTAACTTTTATTCAAGATACTGTTTCATATTTTCTTAAATCCTCAAAAAAAAATTTACTCTTTAATACCTTCTCACAAATTTTTGATAAAAATCTAAAAATGTTTCTAGAGTTCAGAGATGCATCTTCGGACACATCTATTTTACACAAAATTGAACGTAAACGATTGAACCATTCCATAATACATAATTTTAGTTCAGAGTTGCATCTTCGAATTTGTATTTGGTATACTTCAGAGATGTATATTTAAAAATAACTCTGATACTTCAAAACAAAAACAAAGACAGTTTGAGAAAGATCTAGAAACCACAACTTAACATTAAATTAAAATATTCAACATTACATAGATAATTGTAACATAAATTTAACATTACATATTGTTATAAATGGATAGTCCAGGACGTTGTAACATATTGATAATATCTTCGACGAATCTTGCAATCTTTACATCCACTTCAATCGGATCTTTTGTTGCTAACGGCAAAAGGTACTCCACATAACCTCTAAATCTTCACTCGTCTTTCAGTTAAAAGTTGATGAATTATATCTTTCCTTTGCTGTCAAACAAGATTGAATGATATTCGAGCTTGATAACTTTTTCGATTTTCTGAATATCGCAAGAGAGTATTCATTTTGGATAAAGCGGTTAGAGGTGTGTCCTCGGTGACCCTAAATTGAAGTGACGACTTCTCACCATTGAAATACACAAATTTAAGGTGGGGATATGTTTTTATTTTCTGATTGTGATGTGTTTTTGTAGAAAATAGGATGAAAGACACCCTATTTATACACGTCTTGGATCATTTTAGACCTTAGAAACTTTATCAGGGTATTTTTCGGAGATGCATATCCAGACAAACTCTATTATTTTATGAAAAATGGTATTTTTAAATATGCACATATGAAAAAGTGTCTTGTTGTGTCTTTTAATCATTATATGATTTATCTAGATATGAATATTCAAAATCACCCATGACCCAAAAACAAACCATAAACTTTCATAAATATAAGTTGTAAACCATATAATTTGTAAATAGAAACAGCCAACATTTACGCCATCATTATTGAATATATATTACTTATGTATTAAATAATATTAAGATTACATCTTTGACGATAATACATTCAAAAAGTATATCAATTACAATCTAAAATGCATCAAAAGATGCATCATTGCATAAATCTACGATTGGTTCCTCCTTTGATTTTTCCTTATTTGATTTTCTTTCAAGTTCACTCAATTTGGTGAACTCTTTCATCCTTTTCAAAAATTGATCCGACCAAGTTTTTGTCTCTTTTGTAGAATGTATCGTCCACTCCAACAATGTACCTGATATTAGATACCCCAGTTTCAAATAAACCTCTATAAAATATCGTGATTTTGAAAGCCATCCAATACACATGACCCGTCTGGAAGGATCTTAAGGTGGTGGACCACTCTGAAGTGAAAAAATGTCTCAGAGAAACCATATCTTGTCATATTGATACACACCCTGTTATATGCACTTGCTATAAGATGGATCATTTCAGGGAAGCGCACCCATTTTGAAAATGGTGTGAGACCGCTAACACAAGGATCAAGAGCGTCGTAAATTGCATCAAAATGTTCTCTTTTTTTCCCCGTATAATGATGTGTACAATTTCCTATGCGCTGTCAACTCTTTCAAAAGTTGTTGGCAGACAAGAAAGTGATTTTCCTCTCAACTACTGAGTAAGCCAGATAGGACCCGATAACCGCAATTACCATCCTCTTTAAAATTTAAAATCCTTTAAACATGATTGTGCATAGAAAAGCGACATTTATTTAATGAATATTATTTCCGGCATCAACGCTGAAGGAGGTAGTTTGCTAATGCGAGCACCCTTGTAAACACTTTTTTGAGATTTTGGAGTTGGAGAATTCAGGAAATGTGAACTGCCATGTTCAAAGTATGAAGGAGACCGCTTCGTTGAATTGTCATCTTGTGTCAGTTTTACCTTTTTAGGGGCATCTTTAGTTCTAACCGGTTTCAAAGGAGGTTTCAAATCTATGATTTTTGGATAGACAATCTTCCTCAACTGCTTTTTTATGTACAATTTTATGGTGTCATAGGCTTTAGAAAATCTATCTTGGATCATTTCCCACTTGGTCATGATAGTTATACCTACTTTACCACCCTTCATCACACCATTGTAGACTTCATCCATATGTATCGAGGAATTAAGCTTCATCTTTTTTGAAATGAGAGAAGCACATGGAAGATTGTAAGTCTTCCTAATAGTACATCCACACTTCGAACTATTTGAATCTGTCTTCTATGCTCGCTTTGCTTCGTGAAAAACAAAACTAAATTCCGCCTGAGATACATTGTCAACCAACTGCGAATAAATGGTGTTGTCTTTAAATATATGTTCTAACGTGGTAATTCTCTGACCAAAAGTTATTTGTATTTCATTATGTTTGTTTTGGAGAATTCGGTTCACGGTGTCCCACTATCTACAAAAATCACCCTTACTATCACTCAATCATTTCTTTAATGTCGAATGTGCATATTTGACTCTATTAATTATTGTATTTCCGAAGTGTCAAACCTGACCAGTCCAAGCAAAAACAATCTTCTCATTCACTTGGCCCAAAATAATAATCTCAACGTATTTTAGGAAATCTAGGTATCTGACACACACACTTCTAAAATGCATTAAATATGAAACATACAAGTCTTCTATGGATGAATTTAATATATCATTCCATGCATCCATTATATTTTTCAACACTACACAAGGTTTGACCATTTTTTGGTCTTCACTCTTGATTTGTTTGGTGCCTACCGTGGGTTTAAGCCAACTTGTCACATTTTTTGTTTTATGATATCGACAAAGTAACGCGTAAGATATAAGAAACATATTTACAACCGAAATCATCAGTATAATGTCTCGATCGATGACTATTAAATTTGACATGTTTACTTGGTCCTACAATAAGTCTTGCACATTTCCAAGGCCCATGTAACATTGAACTCTTTTTTGGATTCCAAAAATACAAATCCCACTGAAATTTTTTCTCCGTAGAAGTAACACCAACAATTTCCAAAAGCGGAAGCCTATACTTGTTGGTCTTATATGTTCAATCAATTATGTCGACAGTGAGAAATGTGTTGAGCAACTTGATACTTTCAGGATGAATCCAAAATATGTCACGAACTGGGACTTTATCCTCACAAATTCTGTACCTAAAAACATAGTGGTTACTGTCGCACTGTATATGCGAAAATGTAGCGGTAAAGATTTAAGTTTAAGTTATTGATTGACTTAACTCACACAATGAATTCTCCACTGCATTTTATTATTCTAAAGGGAAAAGGGAAAAAGAGAACAAAACCCAAAATGAAATAAGAGATCAGTGATTAAGGTACGGAGGTCGGTTATGCAGAGGAAAGATATTAGCACCCTATGCATCTACGATACTCTTCAGAATCCACTTTGTCTGTTCTTTTCAAAAAGTGTGTTGTTTAAAAGTTTACTTGCTGAAGGGAAAATTGAAAGAGTATTTACAAACAAAAGAAAATGTTTTTTTATTATTGCGCCTGCCGCAGTTGTGAACCTTTGTGCCTATATACCCACTTCGTACAATTAGGGATCAGGGCACTCATAGTTCTTCTAAAAAAGACATGTATGTTGGTTGATTTTAAATGAACAGACAAGTCATCATTTTTAGGAGAGAACTCTCAACTAAGCACCCATAAGGTACGAGAAAGATTGATCGTACGTCAACGTGAGAAGGGTTTGGAAACGCCTCTGGCACTCAAGTGGAAAAGTCGACACTCTATAAACATAGGGATAGGAGAAAGATATCTCGACTATAAATGAATCATGTCTAATATTGGAACAAAATTTAAAGGTAAAGGGTGCTCAAGCACACAAAAAGGTTTGAATAAGGTTAAATATTTTCGTAGGTAAGATGATAAATAGATCCAACTGCTAGGACACTTATCATCCCTATACTTTGTGAAAACAGAGTTTGGAATTTGAATTATACTAGGGGCTTTATGAATTAAAGAAGGACCAGTTAGGATATGTACCCTCTCATCCTTCCCATTACTAAAGACTCTTGGAGGTGTAACCCTCATCAATTATTTATTAAGTATTTTGAGAAGAAAAGAAGTTTTAAAAGAAAAAGTGCTCGACAAAAGCAAGATTTATTATGAAAGCGGTTCAAGTTTATAAACAAAGAAGGTTTTTGAAAAAGATGAGAAGATTTTGAAAACTAAAGAATGGGGTAGGAGATAAAGAGAGTGCCCTATGTACAGGAAGGTAAAAGATAAAGGTAAAGAACAAATCTAACCAAATAAGAAGTCAATACTTGACATAAAGAAGTCAATACAATATTCCCGTCCCTTTGGATTTAAAGCCTGCCGCAGTTGTGAACCTTTGTGCCTATATACCCACTTCGTACAATTAGGGATCAGGGCACTCATAGTTCTTCTAAAAAAGACATGTATGTTGGTTGATTTTAAATGAACAGACAAGTCATCATTTTTAGGAGAGAACTCTCAACTAAGCACCCATAAGGTACGAGAAAGATGGATCGTACGTCAACGTGAGAAGGGTTTGGAAACGCCTCTGGCACTCAA